GCTGGAAACGGGTATGGGTTTGCGTATGGGTTTGCATGTGCGTGTGCGTGTGCGTGTGCGTGTGCGTGTTCGTGTGTGTTTGTGTGTGTGCGTGTGCGCTTGTGCGTTTGTGCGCTTGTGCGTGTGCGTTTTTGCCTGCGCGTGTGCATGTATGTGTGCGTGTGCGCGTGCGTGTGCGTGTGTGCGCGCGTTCGTGTTCGGATATGTGTATGTGTGTGTGTGTGTGTTTGTTCGTTCGCTCGTTCCCCGCCTAATGCGGGACGCCGCATCTTCTCACCGTCTCAACCCAAGCCGCGCTCCAAGGCAAGCAATGCAGGCGGCGCTGGACGAGGGGGAGGTACGTGGTTGGGGCACGCTCCGCTGCGCAACCACCCAACACCAATGCATACACACCCCGCACGCTGCTCTTGATGTACCCAACCGCCAGGACCGGCCCCTGTCTTGCACTGGTGGAACCAACCTTTGCCAAACACGCGCGTCGCATCACAAGCACGGTGCCGCAAGCCCAGCGCTGCATGCAGACCGTGTTGTGTGCGCGCCGTCTCGGCGAGGAAATTTTGTCAGTAGCTCGGTGGCGTGAGGAGGGAAGGAGGACGGAGGAGGAAGGAACCAGGGCGAACAGCGATGACCCGCGGAGACCTGCCACAACAGCATCGTCATGCCGGAAGCCACGCCACGGTGGCCCACCCAAAGTTCGGGGCCGCGTCGGGGCATATGCAGACGTGCACGCATATGCCGCCACATCACCAGAGCAAGCCGCAACGGCGATCCAGAAGGGAAACGGCTGCACAGGTATTGCGCATCGCAGCGCATCACAGCACAGCGAAGTTGTGCGTGTGCGTGCGCGCGAGGCCACACACCACATCACAGCAGAACACAAGGCAACGCATCAACACATCACATCTCAACACCAAGCTGATCGCTGTGTGTGTTGGCTGTGTGCTTGTGTGTCCGTGTTACGTGTGTGCGTGTGTGCGTGTGTGCTTGTGTGGGCTTGTGTATGCTTGTGTGTTGTGTGTGTGTGTTTGTTGTATGTCTGCGTGCGTGTGCGTGTGCGCAAGCCGTGGCCCCCCCGCTGTTTGGGCTTCCAGGTCGGTCGTGGATTCATGTTTTTTGTTCGTTCCCCCCGACATTCAGTCCTGGATGGTTTATGACACCTTCCACCGTACCGTAGCCTCGTCCTTCCACCGCTCCCCATGTCATCCACGCCCACGCCTGGATGGTTTTCTCTGAGGATTCGGGCGTGTTTGGTGGCGCGCGCTCCTTCGCTGCTTTACGACCTTCTCCACCCTGTCGCTGCGCGCAGGGCCGACACGACAAAAAATGTGCGCGCGTGCGTGCGCGTGTGTGTGTGTATGTGCGCGTGTGTGCGCATGTAGTGTGTAGTGTGTGTGTGGTGTGTGTGTGCTTGTGTGCTTGTGTGGTTGTGTGCGTGTGTGGGTCTGTGTGTTGTTGTGTGTTTGTGTGTCTGTTGGTTTGTGTCTTGATTGTGCGTGCTGGTTGTCTGTTGTGTTGGTCGTGTGTTGGTTGTGTGGGTTTGTTGGTTGTCTGTGTTGGTTATGTGCGTTTGTTGTGTGCATGTGTGTGCGCGTGCGCCTGTGTGTTATGGTTGTTTGTGTTGTGGTTGTGTGTTGATTGTGTGTGCTGGTTGCGTGCTGGTTGTGTGTGTTGGTTGTGTGTTGGCTATGTGTGTGTTGGTTGTGTGCTGATTGTACGTTGGTTGTGCGTACTCGTGGGTTTGTCTGTGTTTGTGTGTTGGTTCTGTGTTGGTTATATGTTGGTTATATGTCTGTGTTTGTGTGTTATGCGTGTTGGTTCTATGGTGGTTGTGTGTATGTTGGTTGTGTGTTGGTTGTGTGTGTTGGTTGTGTCTTGGTTGTGTGTGCGCGTGCGTGGATGGATTCGTGTGTGTGTGGCAGCCCTGCGTGTGTGCGTGTGTGTATGTGAGTGCGTCTATGTATGCACGTGTGTGTTCGTGTGCGTGTGTGTCTGTGCGTGTGCGTATGTGCGTGTGCGTGCATGCGTGCGTGCGTGTGTGCGTGTGTGTGTGTGTGCGTGTATGTGTGTGTGCGCGTCAGTGTGTGTGTGTGTGTGTGCGTGCGTGCGTGGCTGTTCGCTTGTGTGAGCGTGGGTGTGTGAGCGTGCGTGGGTGTGGGTGTGTGTGCGCGTGTGTGTGTGAGCGTACCTGTGCGCGTGCGTGCGCGAGCGTGTGCGTGTGCCCCCCCGCCCCGCGCTCCAGGAGCCCGGCGCCGAGCGGCTCCTCTTCCCAGGCGAGGGCCCACCGTTCCGGGAGGTCGTCTTCGGGCATCGGGCTGCCCAGGCCGCCCTGCGGGGAGGGCGGGGTTCGGGTGTTTCTATAGGTGCCTTTGGCCCAATTAGGCGCCCCCAGCTTCTCGCTCCCTTCAGGAGCCTCGTGAGGGGTGCTCTGGAGGCCGCGGGGGCGCCTTGGGCCAGCGGCCAGGGGCGCTGTCAGCAACACCCGAGGGGAGGAGAGCAGAGGTGAGGATGGGATCGGAATGAAGGCCCATCGCCAGCCCAGACTCTAGAAGAAGAAAGGACATGGTAAATACGTAGCACCCCGCAGTCGCGATAAGAGTGAGGGGGCGGCGAGGACGTCGTCAGTCTGCGAGGCTCTGAAGAAGCCCGCCGCGGGCGTTTGCCATTTACATATTATGCAGTGAGCCAGGCGCAGGCGCCGATTTTTTCGTTAAAGCAATGTGGGTTGATCGCGGGGTGGGTCGCGGATGGGTCGCAGGTGGGTCGCGGGTGGGTCGCGGGCCAGGTCGCGGATGGGTCGCGGGTGGGTCGCGGGCCGGGTCGCGGGCCGGGTCGCAAGTGGGTCGCGGGTGGGTCGCAAGTGGGTCGCGGGCCGGGTCGCGGGGTGGGTTTCGGGTGGGTCACGGGGTGGATCGCGGGGTGGGTCGCGTATGGGTCGCGGGCTGGGTCGCGTATGGGTCGCGGGCTGGGTCGCGGGTGGGTCGCGGGTGGGTCGCGGGCGGGTCGCGGGGGAGACGACGACAACAACAACAAGCAGAATCCCCACCACGGATCCCCACTTCAGCCACGCGCCCCGGGACAATGAATGACCGCTCGGCCCCCTCCCCTCACTCTGATAAACGTTTGGTGGTCCGCGCAGATTTTGTGGATCCGCGCGGGGCCCCCTTGGCCTCGCCTCTGGCGCCGCCCCTGGCGCGCTCCGCGCGCCAGGGAGGGGGGTTTCAGCGCACATCGAAGAAATCCGCGCGGAACGCCCAAAGTTTATGTGTACAGCGTTGTTTCTTCCTCCATACTCGGCGGCGGGCGATGGGGGGAAGCGAGAAGGAGAAGGTCTTCTCAAAGGGCGGCGGGACTTCTCAGAAGCCCGTGCGCCTTCTGAGAGGTGTTTTGCGTCTCCGGGGAAGGCGTGGCAGACATCTCAGAAGGCCGGGGAACCTCGACCCTCCTGCAGAGGCCCGCCCCCTCTCACTTCCCCCCCGAGGGCTCGCCGCCGATCTACGGGAGGAGAGGGAGGAGGGTGGTCGCTCTGGATCGCTCCTCTGTCCTGCCCCTCTTCCCGCGCCCAGGCCCTCGCTGATCCTCCAGGGGCTTCGCTCTGGGTCGCTCCCCTGCCCTGCCCGCGCGCCACCGCGCGCGAGGGCCTAGGCCTCCCAGATGGGGTCTGAGCAGGTGGGGTCGGAGGATCGCGCCGCATCGCCGATGCATCGACGATGCGGCTCGATGTCAAGCCCGTGTTTCTCCACGCCGACGTCGCCGATGCATCGCCGATGCGTCGGCGATGCGTCGGCGATTCATTGGCGATGCGGCGCAATCCTCCGACCCCATCTGAACCGAACCCCATCTCGGAGGGAAGGAGGGAAGGGGGAAGGGAGGGAGGGAAGGAAGGAGGCTTCTTGGGGGAGGGAGTCCGGCGATCGCAAACATGGACCAAGGGGGCGTGGATTAGCGATGGGTCCCGTTTCCATTGGAAATCGCGGATTTCCGCCGTCAAACGAGGCGGCACGGGCCGCGTTTTGAGGAGGGCACCTCCCCCCCGATCCATGGATTTGGCGACCGCGCGCCAAATCCATAGATCGCTAATCTATATTTTCGCGCCACCGAGGGAGGGACGTAGGAAGGAGGGAAAGCTTCTAGAGGGAGGGAAGGCTTCTAGGGGGAGGGAAGGAGGAAGGGAGGGGAGGAGGAGCAGGCGGAGGAGGAGGGGGGAGGCAAAGAGGAGCCAAGGAGCGGCGGAGGCGGACGGGGGGAGGAGGGGTGGGGGAGAGAGAGGAGGCAGAGGAGAAGGGCGAGGAGCAGAGGAAGGAAACGTGGGAGGGGAAGCAGGAGGACGGGGAGGAGGAGGGAACAGAACAGGTCGGAGGATGAGGAGGAGGAGGAGGAGCAGGAGGAGGAGGAGGAGGGGAAGCAAGAGGAGCGGTTAGAGGAGGAGGGAGAGAGGAGGAAGACGGGGGCGCGAGCGACCAAGCTGATGAGGAGGATGATGAGGGTGCCTTGACGATTGTCGTGTTTCCCTTCGCTCCTCTTCACTTCAGTTGCAACGACCGCTTGGGCCCCAGACTGTATGGGTGCGCATCGCGGGCGCGCCCTTCATTACCGTGCGCGACATTCGAACGCCCCTCAATCTACTGCGAGCCATGATGCCAGCTCAGCAGCATCCGAGCGTCCCTCAACTCATTGCGTCGCTTCAGCGATTACGGCATGAAGCTGTGAAGGCCGAGCAGACAAGCGACTGGGGGAGACGGGGGCGGGGATCGGAATCCGGGTCCCGAGGCTCCGAGAACGAGCCGGCGCCTGCCAGTGCGCCCGGAGGGCGGCTCACCTCCCGTGATGCAGTCGTCGGCTCGGCACGGCCAGCTCGGGACGGCCGCCCGGAGGGGCGCCATGGCGCGGGGTAGGGATAAGAAGGAAACTATGAACGAGGAAGACAATAAGAAGAAGAAGAGGAAGAGGAATGATAGCAATAATAAGAAGAAGAGGAATCATACTTATGATAGCAACAAGACGAACAAAACAACATCGGGTGAGGTGGGTATGGCTTCCGGGCGCATTCCGCGCATTCGTGGACCCACTTCCTTGGTGGCACCACTCTGGAGTGCCCATCATGGCCGACGGCCAGAGTCGGGGGCATCCCTGGATCAGGGGCTGGCCAGCGCTGAGGGCCTGCGGGTGACACCACCTGCCTGCTCCACTCACCCACGCCCTGCCTGCGGGACGGCATGGCTGGAGCTCAGCGAGGACGAGGAGGGGGGAGCGGAGGAGCAGGGAAGAGAGCTTCCCCCGCAGGACGGCGTGTCCCCGAGTCGCCGTGCCGAGAGCCCCCCCGACACGCCGGGGGCGACGACGACGAGGGCCTCCGACGGCGTCGACGTGTCGCCCGCGGCGGGGGCGGCTGCCGCGGCGCTCGCTGCTACGGCGCAGGAGGACTCGGGGCTGGAGCTGCCACTGCCCGTGGCCGGGGTATACGTGATTCCTTTCGCCTCGCGGGGTGCACGTCCGGAGCGCGCGCGGTCCAATCGTTGCGGGGCCCAGTGGGGGCCTTTCTGGGGCCTCTTGCAAGCCTTTTGAGAACGCATTGGGGCCTCCTGGGTACTTCCTTGAGGCCTCTCGGGGCCTCTTAGTAACCGGTGTGTCGGAGGTTGGGGGGTGAGATCGAAGTGGAACGGAGAGCCCCCCTACCGGGAAATCGATTTCGGTTTCGTGTTCGTGCGCGCCGTGCGTGCGGGCGAGGCGAAGCTGCGTGGGCGGGCGAGAGAAAGTCTCCTGTGGCTGAGGCGCGGTCGGACCAAATGATTGCCGTCCGGGCGTCTGGGGGCCCGCGGTGTCCCGCCCGGTGTCCCGCTGGGGTCCCGTGTGGCTGAGGCGCGGCCGGACCAAATGATTGCCGTCCGGGTGTCTGGGGGCCCGCGATGTCCCGCCGGTGTCCCGCCCGTGTCCCGTCGGTGTCCCGATGATGATGATGATGATGATGATGATGATGATGATGATGATGATGATGATGATGATGATGATGATGATGATGATGATGATGATGATGATGATGATGATGTTGATGTTGATGTTGATGTTGATGTTGATGTTGATGTTGATGATGGTGATGGTGATGGTGATGGTGATGGTGATGGTGATGGTGATGGTGATGGTGACGATGGTGATGGTGATGGTGATGGTGATGGTGATGGTGCTGAAGATGATGATGGTGATGATGATGATGGTGATGGTGATGTTGGTGATGATGATGTTGATGATGATGTTGATGTTGTTGTTGATGATGATGATGTCGACCCGTGTTGTTGTTGATGATGATGATGGTGATCGATCGGGAGAGATCGATTGTGAAATCGATGGTGGGGTCCATTGCGAGATCGATTGGGTGAGACGTTGGGTCCGCCCCCTTCAACTTTCTTGCCATTCAAGGATTTCGGCGCAAGGCTTCTGTTGCACTCGGCACGCGGGGGGGCTGGAAACGCGCCCACTTCGGTCACGCACTTTTTTCGGCTTCGCTACGAGGGGCCAGGCTTTGCCAGCCGAGATGCTCGACAAGAATGTGGAGACGGTGACGAACACGAACACCCAGACGGCCAAGTACGCCAAGTGGTACGTGAGGGTCCTGGACCCGAATGTCATTGATTTTGCGTTCACTGCGAGGAACGAAAAAGTGCATCAATCGCACAATCAAGACACTTGCACCCCACTTCGCCGCCTTACGCGCGATATGCAAGGACGCCCGCGCGCATGAACGATAAAGGATGGACGGCGCGTTTGCCCGCGCGGGCAACGCGCGGGCACGAACGACTGGCCCTCCATGGCCGCCAACATTGGATGCCAATCATACCCGATCACATACGTGAGCGGTACAGTGAGCATAACTGGGCCATTCAGCCCTCATGGAAGACACCCCGCGTAGAGCCTTCCTGTCGCATTTTTCGCATTCGCGAAAGCGCGCGAAAGTTTGGGGCAGCTGACGTTGCAAAATCATCTTATCGCGGCGCTTGATTTTAAAAACCGAACGAAACCTAAGGTTGTCGTTAAAGGATCTCCGCCCGCGCGCGCGACGACGCCCGCGCGCGCACGTCGCCCCTTTCGTTGAAAGGGAGGCGTTTGATTTGCGACGAACGAGCGTGCAAGGTTAGGTTTTTGTCCCAGAATATGGCGCGGGGGGGGGGGGCCGATGCCGATCTGGCTGTGGGATGGCATGAGTTTAAATTAAAGATAAGCGACGAGGCCGAACCAGTTGTACGTCACACGCCCCACAGGGGGGCGATCATCCTGGCCTCGGGGTGGCGGTGGATCCTAGCGTCTTTCTGCGATGGGCCATCTATTAGTAGTGAAGAAACCTGAATTGACAATTCCACTGATCGCGAAAACGCCCCACCCGCCGACCCGCAATTTTGTTTGCCCAACCCATGGGGCGGCAATTATGATGCCCGGCGCTGGCTGGCGCATCGCCGCGACCGCGCTAGCCCGCGCAGGCTCCCGGTCTAGGCGGCAAGTTGGTCTGGCGCGACCTACGCGGCCGCGATGGCGCCGACCGCCGGGGACTTCCCTACGCGTCTCATAGGCCGCGCTGTGCGCGGCAGCGGCGTAGGCGGGCGCGGTATCATGGCGACGCCGACGACGGTAGACGCGACGTTGATAATGGCGACGATTGCGACGACGATGACCATGACGACAGCAAGACAATGACGGCGCAGATCTTGATCACACCGACGCCCATGACGGTGTCCACGCGTCGGCGACGAAGGTGTTAAAAGGAGTTTGACATGCGCGCGCGGCCGACTGGCGCGAGTGGCCCGCGTGTCATTCGGATCGTACCCTCCCCCCAGCACGCGCGCAAGATGCGCGCGCGCGAGAAGCCCGTTTGGTGGAACCGGATGAGATTGTTACATTGTCATAACAGTTGCGGTTTGCCCAAGATTCGGAAAAGCGTGCAAAATTATGTTCATGGTTTTTGCAAAACCATGTGTTGGTGTATGTGTTCGGAACATTCGTTTTTGAAATCCTATCGTTTGTTTCGACGGTTTCAGGGTTGCGCGCGCGACGACGCGTGCTCGCGCATTCCGACCCACTTTTTGATTCGGGCTTATTGGAGTCCGATCATGTGTGTTGTAAACGAGTGTGCGCACATGGTGTTTTTGCACAGATTGTCGAGGGGGCGATGCCTGTTTGACTGGGATCACATAAGTTCATTTGTGGAATAAACGAGGGTTTGAATCATATGTAAATTGTACATGCTGGGCAGGGGGATAATCCCTGGGGGGGTGATAGATCTGTTTTCCGTTTGGGAACAGAAAATCCATGTGGCTCAATATTTGTGGTGCAAATATGCGAGGCCGCAACGGGGCGGCGACGGGGCGGCGACGGCGACAACACGGCCGCCAGACCGACGCACAGGCCCAAAAGATGGGCGGCGACGAGGCGGCGACGGGGCGGCGACGGCGACAACATAGCCACCAAACCGACGCGCAGGCCCAGTCTATTTAGATAAAGCGTAAAACGCCCCAGTTGCATGCACTGCTTTGGGGGAAAAAAAACCAGAACAAAGGCCAGCACTGTTTGGAGAATTTCGGCACGGAGGCGGTCTGCGTTTTTGGGGGGGAGAGGCCTCGTTTTACGATGTTTTTTTCGTTTGGGTGTGTTCGGGTCGGGCGGAGCTGGCGACGTGCACGAGGGGGTTCGGCTAATGGGGTGGTTTTCTAAGACGAGGTTTCCGGGAACAGCTCACGGATTGCTGCGAATATTTTTGTTAAGAACAGCATCGATTCTGCAAGCCGCCCCGGTTTCTGAGAGATCTTGCCCCGCCGTTTCCGCTTGTGTGCGCCGCCAACCATCAGGAGGGGAACAAACACAGACACAATTAATCGTTGACCCCCCAGAAAATATGGGAAAACAAGGGAAGTGGGGGGAAGACAAAAACCCATAAAATATTGAAAAATATAGGGAATCTTGTTAATTGTGTGTATTTATTTGTGTGTGTGTGTGTCCCAGGGCCCCTTCAAACCAGCGCGTCAGTGGCAACCCCTCGAAGCAGTTCCGGGGGTCGTGTGGAGTCGCTGCCCAGCCCCCCTTTTCCAAACAGGCAAGGTAAACCCCGCGCGCGGAGGGCTCAGGGGGGGGGCGGCAAAGAGAGGGGTGATGACTGAGGGGGGGTGGATATCATGGCGTGGGCCATGATTTTTCCACAGATTTCATGGCGCCTCTTCTTATTTCATTACGTCCCTGGCCCCCCCGTTTGGCTGCGCACATGCCGCCGGTCATGATTTGCACCCCCCCTCTTGGACGCCCCCCTCTTGGCCGCCCCCGATCAGGGGGGGGAGCAGGAGCGCTTTTCGCACGCCGCCCGCCCCGAGGGGTCGGCGAATCAACCTCCCCGTCCACAGGGAGCGTTTTCTCAGTTTCCTGGACGACTTCTGCCCGAAGACGGGCGTCAGCCGCGACGCGGTCCGCATCGTCGACGGGGTGAACGCCACCGAGGCGCTCCGGCACTCCTGGCCCACAGAGCTGCTGCCGGGCATAGAGCAGTACCCGACCCAGGGCCAGAGGTCGGCCTCGCGCAAAGGGGTACAGTTGGGGGCCCATGCCAAGGAGCACCTTGCTTGCATCCAAGTTGCCATGGGTTTCTTGGGTTTCGATGGTTTTGCTGTGGAAGGCGCGACGTTCCCACACCAAAAATCAATGGACGTCCTGGGGTCTCAGGGTTGGGTTTTGTGGAATGTTTGTTGTGGTCGGGCCCCTAGTTATTGCAGAGGGAGGGAAGGGAGGCTTCTCAGAAGCGCCCCTGCTTCATAGAAGGCGCAGATGTAGGGCCAGCGCCTTCCAAAAAGCAGCCTCCTTCGAAGTAGCTTTGCCCTCGCCCTGCGGCCGGACCGAGGTATAAGATCGACGTCGTTTCGGGAAGGGTACCCTATTGTTCTTCGTGTTCGTTGGATGTTCTTGTGCATCCCTGGAAGGGAACCCTCGAATGTTCTGTATTTGGGTCGGCGGAGGGTCTCATGCTCTTAGAGGATGTTCTTCTGTCCTAGGTCCGGCTGAAGACGTAGGGCCAGGGCCTTCTAAGAAGCAGCCTCCTTCGAAGTAGCCTCCCCCCTCTGGGAAGCGGCCTCCTTCGAAGCAGGCTTCCCCCTCCCCCTGAGAGGCAGCCTCCTTCAAAGCAGCCTCTCCCCCCCCCCCGGCACAGTCGGCCCTGATTAGCAGGTCGACCCTGCCAGATCAAGGGTATCCTTGTGTCCTGTGGTTCGCGACCCACGCGGTCTACGTACATTCCTACGGCGATGTGGCCCTCGAAAGGGTCCTGCGTCCTCTCGCGTGTCCTCTCCAGTCAAGCCCGACTGCAGCCTCCTTCGAAGCAGCCTCCCTCGAAGTTGCCTTCCTCTTCAAGAAGCGGCCTCCTTCGAGGCAGCCTCCTTCGGCCCCCCCCCTCTGGTGCGCGCCGCCCGAGAGGGGCCAGCTGGGGCTCGCCCTGGCCCACCTCTCCGCGTGGAAGGCCGTGCGGGACTCGCCCGAGTGCCAGGCGCCGGCGGGGGCGGAGGATCCGTGCGGTCGAAGCGGGCACGGAGAGGATGGACCCCAGGCGCGATCGCGTCGTAAAAAAAAACAGGGCGGGAGGTGTTTGCCTATTTTTGGCCTCGGGGGGTCCTCGCCGGGCCTCGGGACCGCCAAAAGGCGACTCAGGATGAAAAACCGGTCCTGGGGAAAGGGTCGGGACGTCGAGGGACCCCGCATGGAAAAAATCAGGACGTCGCATGTCTGCGGCACGATGCCCACCAGCACTTCTCAGGCGATCGCAAGCATGGATCATGGGGGCGTGGATGAGCGATGGGTCCCGTTTCCATTGGAGGCCGCGGGTTTCCGCCGCCGAAGGAGGCGCCACCGGCCGCCTTTTGGGGAAGGCACCTCCCCAGATCCATGGACTGGGCGACCGCGCGCCTGATCCATGGATCGCTAATTCATGTTTGCGCGCCACCGAGAATGGGCACAATGCCTACCAGCTCTTCCTGCGCATGTTGAAGAGGACTCGCCGTCCGCGTCGCCGTGGGCGTGGCCCATTTTAGAGAGAGGGTTGACTGCCCAACAGCGGCCGCAGTCGGCCTTGGACCACATTTGCGGCTGGGCATCGTACCCAGTTTTTGTCTCCCCTCCATTTCGGGTGGAGGGTTTCTCCGAAGGGCTTAGGCGACCCGTCCTCCTCCTCCTCCTCCTCCTCCTCCTCCTCCTCCTCCTGCGCCCACCACTTCGGGCGTCCATCGAGGAGCCCTTCTCCTGGGAGGGGCCGTTGCGGGGCGACATCCTCGGGTGGGGCTACCGCACGGATCCCGCGGACACGCTGCTGGCGTGCAGGAGTCGGGAGGGAAGAAAGGCACGAATAGTGGTCGGTTCCCCAGAAAAGCTGGGAAAACGTCGTTTGCTTGCTTGGGGCCTCTTGGGGGCCGCTTGGCGGTATTTTTGGGTCCTTTTCGGGCATCACGTTTCTTTGCTTGGGGCCTTTTGGGGGCCGCTTGGCCGTATTTTTGGGTCCTTGTCGGGCCTCACGGAGGCCTCTTTGGGCCTGGGGGCCTTTGGGGTGCCTCCTGGGGCCTCCAGGGGCCCCTGGGGGCCTCTCGGGGCCGAGGTCCTGGGATATGTACACATTTATTTGGGTGTTCCTGGGCCCCTTCGAGGAAGCTCTGCGAGGAGGACGGCCAGTGCGAGGCCATCCAGTTCTCGGAGTCTGCCGGGGACGGGCCCGAGCAGGCTTGCGTCCTGCACAACAACAGGTCCGCTTGGCGCTCTGACCAGCACGTCTACAAGGACTTCTTCATGCACTTCCTCACTCGCGACCCGTCCACGGAGAATCGGTCTTCTAGGCCTCCCAGATGGGGTCCGAGTAGATGGGGCCGGAGGATCGCGCCGCATCGCCGCTGCATCGGCGATGCGGCTCGATGTGGAGACCGTGTTTCCCCACGCCGATGCATCGGCGATGCTGCTCGATGTGGGGCCAAATTTGCTTCACGCCGCTGGTGCCGACGCATCGCCGACGTTGCCGATGCATCGCCAATGCATCGGCGATGCATCGGCCATAAGCCGCGACCCTCCGACCCCCCTCTGCTCGGACCCCGTCCAGGAGGCCTCGAGGTATGCCCTCGTCTTCGAGGACGACGAGAAGGTGAACGCGTCGTTCAGGGACGCGGTGATGGCGATCGTCCAGGCGACGGTCCACGCCCCCGCGAGGCCGGACTTCATCAACCTCAATTGCCTGCGCCCCAGGGGCGATGCCGTGCCGGCGAAGCTGCCCGGCGACGCGAGGCTGCAGGCCGTGAACAAGGATTGAGTCGGGCCTGTGCCTCTACGGGAGGGAAATTCAAAAATAGTCAGAAATGATATGGGGAGGTGTTTTTTTGTACAGAACAAGTTCTTTCATATCTTTGAGTATGTTTGACTATTCTTAACGTTTCGTCCAGAATCCGCTTGTATGGGGACACGCCCGACCTAAAACGAGGAGCGCGACCACGACAACGAGTGCTGGAACATCGACGACGCCACGTGCCCGAACGTGTGGATGGGCGCCTACATCTGAGGAAGAAAACGGGCCACAAGCATGAGCTCTGGTGGCGCTCCGCGCGGATCTCCCGGATCCGCGCGGGGCCCCCCTTGTGCGCCACCCCTGGCGCGCTCCGCGCGCCAGGGAGGCCATGGGGCAACGACAGGAGGGGATAGGCACAGGGGGGGATGCATCGACCCCCAATCGCCCATTGATCGATGATAGTCAGGCGATCGCAAACATGGAGCAAGGGGGCGTGGATTAGCGACGGGTCCCGTTTCCATGGGAAGTCGCGGATTTCCGCCGCCGAACGAGGCGGCACAGGCCGCATTTTGGGGAGGGCACCTCCCCCGATCCATGGATTTGGCGACCGCGCGCCAAATCCATGGATCGCCATGTTTGCGCGCCCCTGAGATAGGGGCCCGATAGCCCCACTCTGCCCAGGAGGGTGTGGATTCACCATGGGAGGCCCATCGCCGATCCATCGGCGATGCCTCGCCGACTCCAGGTCGATGCATCCCCCCTGTACCAGTCCCCCCCTATCGTTGCCCCTCAGGAGGGGGGTCCAGCGCGGGTCCAAGAAACCCGGGAGGAGCGCCAGAAGTTCATGCTCAGATGCAGCGTGTCTCTTCCTCTGCACATGCTGCGGTGCGGCGGTGCGAGCGCTCTGCTGGAGGCCATGCACGACCTCGAGTACGACGGCCAGCCGTACACAGGCAGCCTCACCTTCGACCGCGCGGTCTCCGACATGCAGCTCCGGCAGAGCAACAGCATCACGACTTGGGTGATCTCGCCGCCCAACTCGGTGACGGTGCATTCGGAAGAGGTGTCGGACCGCAGAGACATCAACAAAGGTGAGAGGAAGGAAAGGCACAGTGGAAACCCGTGCCAAGAAGCGCCCTGCTTGCCTCCAGGGTGCCCTGGGTTTCTTGGGTTTCGATGGTTCTGCTATGGAAAGCGTGACGCTCCCACACCAAAAATCAATGGACGTCATGGGGTTCCAGGGTTGGGTTTCTTGTGTAAGGTTTCTTGTGGTCGAGTTCCTACTGTACCCATACCGCTACCCTCCGCCCGTTTTCCTCTTTTTGGGCCTCCTGGGAGGCCCTCGTCGCCACCGATGGATTTGCCTCGAAATTCTGGTCAGAGAGCACCCCAGGAGAGGACCGGGGAGTGGCGGTAGCGATACCATTCGCTTTCCCCAAGAGGGGCCCTGCGCCGGCTGCACACGTGAGTCCAGCCCGAGTCCCGCGACGTTCTCATGGAGGGGCGACGGCTCCTTCGTGGGCAGGCGCCGCGCGTCGCCGCGTCGCCGGTGAAGGCCAGGAGGGTGGTCCTCGGGAGCCTTGAGGGTCAATGCAAACGGGGGTCAGCCAGCGCGCCCGATCTCGGAGGCTCCTGCAGGGCCAGCGTCGCACTGACCGGGGCTTCGGTGCGGGATCCTGCAGGATCTTGCATTCCGTCGGGCCTGACACTCTACGGGGGAAAAATAGCCGGAAATAGTCTGGGGACGATTGTTTGACCTTTTTGTGTGTATGTTTCAGGTATTTTTATTTTTGTCGCCCAAAATCCGTCTGTAGGGGGGCACGCCCGACTTACATGTTGCAGGATCCTTCGCATGGACCCAGGCATTGGGTGCAGGATCTTGCAGGAGTCTGCAAGGCCTGACTGACCCGGCTCTGGAGTGACCCGGGTCGGAAGATCCCGCCTCCTTTGCCCCGTCCTTTGCCCCGCCCTCCTCCTTTGCCCCGTCCTTCTGGTCGGCATCCTCCTCTGCCCCGTCCTCCTCTGCCCCGTCCTCCCGCCTCCTTTGCCCCGTCCTGGAGGGTGCGGAGGAGGAGGAGGAGGAGGAGGAGGAGGAGGAGGAGGAGGAGGAGGGAGGAGGAGGGAGGAGGAGGAGGAGGAGGAGGAGGAGGGGGGGGAGGAGGAGGAGGAGGAGGAGGAGGAGGAGGAGGAGGACGAGGAGGAGGGAGGAGGAGGAGGCGACCGGGGCGAGCAGGGGCTCCGACGCCGCGGGATCCGTGTCGCGGCGTGGGCCCCCCGAGCGCTCGGCCCCATAATAGCCCAGGGGGGCCGCTCTTGGGTCGCGGGCTGCTGTGGCTCCTCCTCCTCCTCCTCCTCCTCCTCTTCCTCCTCCTTCTCCTCCTCCTCCTCCACCTCCTCTTCCTTCCTCCTCCTCCTCTCCTCCTCCTCCTCCTCCTCCTCCTCCTCCTCCTCCTCCTCCCTGCGGCCCGGGAGGTCATCGGGGGTCTCCGGTCTCCAGAGTCGGGGGGCGGCAAAGAGGGGGTTGATGACTAGGGGTGTGTGGATATCATGGCGGGGGCCATGATGTTTCCCCAGATTTCATGGCGCCTCGTCTCATTTCACTACGTCCCTGGCCCCCCCCCGCTGGGCCGCGCACATGCCGCCGGTCATGATTTGCACCCCCCCCCTCTGGGACACCCCCCTCTTGGCCGCTCACGACAGGGGGCCCTCGAAGTTTGGGTCGGGACTGTCCCTCTACAGGAGGACTGTTCAAGCATGTTCTTCCGCACTATGGGGGACGTTTTGGTTGGCATGTTCCGCATGTTCTGACTATGTGTTGTTCAGGAGGGGAAAAACACACAGACCCAATTAATCGTCATCCCCCAGACAATATGGGAAATCATGGGAATTGGGTGGGAAGACAAAAACCCAGAAAATGTGGGAAAATATGGGGAATTGTTTTATTTGTGTGTATTTGTTTGTGTGTCCTGGGGCCCCTTCAGTTGTATCTGTCGTCCAAACTCCGCCTGTAGAAGAACAGACGCCATGAGCATAAACGTTGGGCGCTCCGCGCGCATTTCTTGGATCCGCGCGGAGCGTCCAAATTTTGTGATTATGACGTTTTGTTGTTTATTATTATTGCATTGGTATTATTTCTATCATCAATATTATTATTATTACTATCATTATTATCAGTAGTGCTATTATTATTAGTATTTTATTATTAATATTATTATGACTACTAATCTTGATAGTATTTTCATTATTAGTATTATCATGATTAGTAGTAGTAGTAGTAGTAGTAGTAGTAGTAGTCGTAGTCGTAGTCGTAGTCGTAGTAGTAGTAGTAATAGTAGTAGTAGTAGTAGTAGTAGTAGTAGTAGTAGTAGTAGTAGTAGTAGTAGTAGTAGGTAGTAGTAGTAGTAGTAGTAGTAGTAGTAGTAGTAGTAGTGGTAGTAGTAGTAGTAGTAGTAGTAGTAGTAGTAGTAGTAGTAGTAGTAGTAGTAGTAGTAGTAGTAGTAGTAGTAGTAGTAGTAGTAGTAGTAGTAGTAGTAGTAGTAGTCGTAGTAGTAGTAGTAGTAGTAGTAGTAGTAGTAGTAGTAGTAGTAGTAGTCGTAGTAGTAGTAGTAGTAGTAGTAGTAGTAGTAGTAGTAGTAGTAGTAGTAGTAGTAGTAGTAGTAGTAGTAGTAGTAGTAGTAGTAGTAGTAGTAGTAGTAGTAGTAGTAGTAGTGTAGTAGTAGTAGTAGTAGTAGTAGTAGTAGTAGTAGTAGTAGTAGTAGTAGTAGTAGTAGTAGTAGTAGTAGTAGTAGTAGTAGTATTTTGCTGAAGGTCTTCGGGGGAGGGCCTGGAGGTTTCAGAGGTTTCTGGGGGTCCTGCAGGAGGTCTCCGGAGGTCTCCGCAGGCTTGCTGGAGCGACACCTGATCATGCCGGGGAGAGCGAGGCCCAGCCACCCCACGAACGGGGAACAGGAACAGGAACAGGAGGAGGAGAAGGAAGAGAAAGGAGGGAGGAGGAGGAAGGAGGAGGAGGAGGAGGAGGGAGGGGGGAGGGAGGAGGGAGGAGGGGGAGGGGGGAGGGAGGAGGGAGGAGGGGGGAGGGAGGGGGGAGGAGGGAGGGATAGGAGGAGGGAGGAGGGAGGGGGAGGAGGAGGGAGGAGGACGGAGGAGGAGGAGGAGAGGAGGAGACGAGGAGGAGGAGGAGGAGGAGAGGAGGAGGAGGAGGAGGAGGAGGAGGAGGAGGAGGAGGAGGAGAGGGAAGGAGGAGGGAGGTTGCAGTACAGGAGGAGGGAAGGAACGGATGATGGCAAGGAGGAAAAGTCGGGCTTTGGAGGTATGTTGCTGTGTCAGGTCCGTGAAGGACGGCGAGGCCCTCCCTGCAGCTCGCGATGGGGCCGCCACCTTGACTGGTTGTGACCATCATACACGCCGGTCTTTGGAAGCAGGTATGTTCTGGAAGTCCAGGCCCCGATTTTTCAAGTGCCCTCCTATAGAATCGAGATTGTTTTGCAGTGTTTTGTTACCCTTTGCGAAGGCCTGACGCCGATCTACTTGATCCGCCTTCCTACTTCATGTTTTTACCTACTTCCGACCGACGTGTAGGCGCCACCCTGCGGCAGTTACCACAGGGGCTGCCGGGGTCCCACTCCCACCAGTACGCCATTCCACGAAGCCGTCATCGGCATTGGATGGGGCGCCGAGGCCCTCTACACGGCCCCTCGGCCAACGTAGACGGCCGCAGGGAAGAGCGCCAACGTACCGCCACAACGCAGATCCCAATACTTTGAGGTGCCAACTGCCACCATCCAGTGTCCCCCCCCCTCCTCGCGCGCGAAGGGCATCCCCCCCTTCAGTGCAAGCGCCCCCTCTCTTGAATGGATAGTCGTCCTTGTGTCGAGCTCACTCTTGAATTGTTTGCGGCACGGGGAATGCCGACACTGCCACATCCGCCGCATGCGCGCTCAAGTTTTGTAGCGGCGTGCATCTCTTTCGCCGCGTGTGCTTCCCGGTCCCACCGCGGCTGTCCACTGAATTGTTGTCGGGGGCATCCTGCGAGCGGGCATCTGGAAGGGCGCGGAGCTGATAGGTGCGCTTTCGCGCACGGAGCGCCCGTTTGCCCAGATTGCAAGCTCACTTGGCCACTGGCAAACCTCGCGTGTCCGATTTGCCCAGTGGCCAACCTCTCTTGCCTAGCGTCGTCAGCCGCCGCGGGCGAGCGTTTCCCGTTTGTTGTTGTACCCCTCGCGGGCCGACGGCGATGACCTCGGTTTCGACGTGGTGTCCCTCGTCATCGGAAGCATCACCGTTGAAGTTGGGAGCGCGGCTATCAGTGCGAACGGATGCCGTCGGCGGCGTCGCCAGGCCCCCGAAGTCGAAGCTGATTGAGGGGGGCCCGCTCGGGCGCAGGTCGCTCAGGCGAGGCTGCGCCTGCCGCTCCGGCGGGCCTGAGACGGCCTCTCCTGGGGGCATGGTGCTAATGTGGCGCGGCGTCCCCGGCGCCGAGGGCTACCACGAGCGATTTGTCATTGGGGCTTCGGCCGCGGAGCCCTCCATGGTTCTTACGCTCACGACGAATGGAGATCACCCTGATGAGGATGTTAGCCGCCAAAGCGATGTCATATCCGAGGTGAGATGGGTCGCACAGCCTGGGGGCACGCTTCCAGACATCGACGCGGGGGGGATCTGCAGATTCAGGGCCCCCCCGACGCCGCCGATGGAACAGTCCAAACGGGACGGGGCGCTCATGGCGGGGGGCCGCGTCCGCCTTCCCGCTGCTGTTGGAGCTGCAAGAGCCCCCATCAGGGCGCGGCTGGAGTTGCTCCAGGCCTTTTCGCCTCGCCGTGGAGCTGGAGTCGCTGGAGTTGTCGGGCGCGTTGTTGAGGCTGCGCCCCCCGCGCCTCGCGGCTCGGTCTGGGTGGCCGCCGAGGACCGCCGCGGCTGCGCCAGAGGCCGGGAGCTCCGAAACGCGTTGCCCGACGGCCCCCAGATCACGGGCGAATGCGCGGCGACGCCTGCGCCCGCGGGCCGCGCGCTGGCTCGCGCCCTGAATCTCGGGGGCCACGCGCCCGACTGTCCGAGGGCAACGCGCGCGAAGTACAGCGCGAAGGGAGCGCAGAGGAGGCCTGCGCAGACGCCGCGGATTATCGCGTCGGGGACAAGCCCGCGCGCCGGCGCAGGGGCCGCGCGCGGCACTCGCGCGCGGCGCGAGGATCCCAGACGGCGATTGCTCGGTGCACGAGCACCAGATGACGCGCCGCGCCCTCGAGGCGACGTCGGCCGTAGACCAGCTCAACATGCGGCGTTGCAGTCGGAGGATCTGCTGGCCGGGCGCCCGCAGCTCATTGGGGGCGCGCATCGAAGCTCGCCATCGAAACCAGACTTTCCGGCCGCCGACATCCGCGCGGGGCCCTTCCCAGGCCCCGGCGCCCAGGGGGTGAGTTCGCGGCCAAGGAGCAAGAGCTAGGCGCGAGGCGAGAGAGGAGGCCGAGCGGAGAAAGTCAGGCAATCACCCCCCAGGCGGAGCTGGGGGGCGCGCCAGGTGACGCCCTCAGGCTGGAGGCCCGGGTCGACCGCCATCCGACGGCAGGCGCCCGAGCGGCGAGATGCCGCCGCAGTTTTGCGCGCCCGGCCTGATCGCCAGCGCGACCCCCCCCCGCTGCCGACGACGCCGGCGGCCGCGCTCGCGAGGCAAGGTGCTTCGGAGCGCGCGCGCCGCAGGCTTGCTCGACGACGCCGCTCGCGAGCTCCTGGCCACTGACTTCGCTCGCAGGCGACGCGGCCACGAGCCCCGCCGCAAAGCATGACTTATCCCGCGTTGATACCCCCGGAGCGAGATGGCCCGCGGCGCCTCGGGCCGAAGCCGCGATCGACCTCCGCGGGAAGGGGGGTCCGGTGCACGACGAGGCGCGCGCGTTGCGCTCAGCTGACGAGCGGGGGCAGATTGCCGAGCCAGAGCCCGCCGCCACCCCGCGCGTGGACGGGCACCTGCGGAGGCGCGAGGGCGCCGACACTCATCGCGCGATCGACTTCGTCGCTGCGGGCATGGCGCCCATCACTCGCAACTGCAAGGACACGGTGGCGCCTGTTCTCCGC